TTGAATCTGGGAGGCGGAGGTTGCAGTGAGCCAAGATCGTGCCACTGCACTCCAGCCTGGGTGACAGAGACTCTGTCTCAAAAAAAAAAAAAAAAAAAGCAACACCACACACAAAAAGTGAATTGATTTTCCCCATCTGGGATTGATCTCTCCCGCCTCCGCTTGTCCCCTAAAGCACTTTGTTCTTCTTATGTTGCTACTTCTACTCTGTTACAGAAATGTGTCTCCATAGTCCATATCATATCTGTAAACCAAAAACAAAAGTCTAAGCACCCCAGCTGACTGGTGGACCCTCTCCTACGCCAAGGACATTCCAATTTATCCTGAAAAACTAGTTCAGGCCATGGTGGGAAGTGGTAGTCAGACATGCCTCAACAGACATCAACTCAGAGACTTTAAGACGAGTAGACTCGGCCGGGCGCGGTGGCTCAAGCCTGTAATCCCAGCACTTTGGGAGGCCGAGGCGGGTGGATCACGAGGTCGAGAGATCGAGACCATCCCGGTCAACATGGTGAAACCCCGTCTCTACTAAAAATACTAAAAATTAGCTGGGCGTGGTGGCGCGTGCCTGTAATCCCAGCTACTCAGGAGGCTGAGGCAGGAGAATTGCCTGAACCCAGGAGGCGGAGGTTGCGGTGAGCCGAGATCACGCCATTGCACTCCAGCCTGGGTAACAAGAGCGAAACTCCGTCTCAAAAAAAAAAAAAAAAAAAAAAAAAAAAAAGACTAGTAGACTCAAGACTGATAAGAAATATTTACAATCTATTCTGTCTGAATCCTGCTACCTGGAAGCCTCACCTGCAGGGACATGGATGAAGCTGGAAATCATCATTCTCAGCAAACTGACACAAGAACAGAAAAGCAAACCGCATGTTCTCACTCATTAGTGGGAGAACAGTGAGACCACATGGACACAGGGAGGGGAACATTACACACGGGGGACTGTCAGGGGTGGGGAGCTAGGGGAGGGATAGCATCTACACCTAATGTAGATGACAGGATGATGGATGCAGCCAACCACCATGGCATATGTGTAGCTGTGTAACAAACCTGCACGTTCTGCACATGTACCCCAGAACTTAAAGTACAATAAAAACAAAAACAGTCTCAGTCCTTCTCTCCTGCAGATAACACCCTAGAAAAAAAAGGGGGAGTTAGTGTTCTGAAGGAATGGAATATGGTTCTATAAAAGCATGTCGCAGGGGAGATTGACCTGGCCTGGGAGAAACAGGGAAGGCTTTCTTGAGGAAATGGCATAAACTGAGCTCTGAAGAAAGAGGAAGAGTTAATAAGATAAGGGTGAAGAACTATTTCTGAGTGAGAGGACAGCACGGTGCTAAGATCCTGCATGTGAAAGGAGCATGCTAGTTGGGAATCAAGAACTAAAATAACATCCTTGTGGTAGGAAGGGAGTGGTTTGTAAGGTGGGTGGGGGCCAGGTCAAGTAGGACTGTTAAAGGTAGTGGAGTTTTTCCTGAGAAGATTCTTCCACCTGAGCCTCCGAGAGTTTTATGCAAGTGGGTGGCAGGATCAAATTTGCATTTTAAGGCCAGGCTCGGTGGCTCATGCCTGTAATCCCAGCACTTTGAGAGGCTGAGGTGGGCGGATCACAAGGTCAGAAGTTCTAGACCAGCCTGGCCAATAAGGTGAAACCCCCCTCTCCTCCACCTCTACTAAAAATACAAAAAATAGCTGGGCATGGTGGCGCATGCCTATAATCCCAGCTACTTGGGAGGCTGAAGCAGGAAAATCACTTGAACCTAGGAGGTGGAGGTTTCAGTGAGCCAAGATCGGGCCGTTGCACTCCAGCCTGGGTAACAGAAGGAGACTCACTCTCAAAGAATGAATGAATGAATGACTGCCAAGTTCGGTGACTCACGCCTGTAATCCCAGTACTTTTGGAGGCTGAGGCGGGCAGATCACCTGAGGTCGGGAATTTGAGACCAGCCTGACCAACATGGAGAAAACCCATCTCTACTAAAAAATTAGCTGGGCTTGGTGGCGCATGCCTGCAATCCCAGCTACTTGGGAGGCTGAGGCAGGAGAATCACTTGAACCCAGGAGGTGGAGTTTTCGGTGAGCCAAGATCATGCTATTGCATTCCAGCCTGGGCAATAAGAGTGAACCTCTGCCTCAAACAAAATGCATTTTAAAAAGATTCATCTGGCTTCATGTGGCTAACTTGAGAGCCAGTTAGGAAGCTATTGCAATAGTCAACATAAAATATAATAGTAATAGTTATACCTCAGATAATTATACCTTGAATGCTAATAATTGTACTCTTGCCAGGAGTTTGAGACCAGCCTAGACAACAGAGCATGACTTTGTCTCTACAAAAAAAAAAAATATTTAAAAACTAGCTGGGTGTGGTGGTACATGCCTGTTGTCTCAGCTACTCTGGAGGCTGAAGTGGGAGGAATGCTTGAGCCCAGGAATTTGGGCTACATTGAGCTATGGTCTCACCACTGCACCCCAGCCTGGGTGACAGAGTGAAACCCTGTTTCTTTAAAATAAATAATGATACTCTCGAAAGCACAGATAAATTCACCAGGGTAAATTGGTGAACTTGAGACATGTTTAGATGACTGCAGCACTTGTACTCTAAGATGGAAACGCTCCTGAATGTTCTATGGAAGCAATTGGTTCTTAATCTTTGATCACTTGCAACACACAAGACAGACATTTGACTTATAGGACACATTTCCGTGGAGATACATGGATTTTAGTGAAAGCAAAAAATGTTGAAGATAAGTAAAGCACTATAATAATTCAAAGTCGCCACAGCTACTAATAATACTTTGATTCTTATTTATTTATTTTATTTATTTATTTATTTATTTTTGAGACGGAGTTTCGCTCTTGTTACCCAGGCTGGAGTGCAATGGCGCTATCTCGGCTCACCGCAACCTCCGCCTCCTGGGCTCAGGCAATTCTCCTGCCTCAGCCTCCTGAGTAGCTGGGATTACAGGCACGTGCCACCATGCCCAGCTAATTTTTTTGTATTTTTAGTAGAGACGGGGTTTCACCATGTTGACCAGGATGGTCTCGATCTCTCGACCTTGTGATCCACCCGCCTCGGCCTCCCAAAGTGCTGGGATTACAGGCTTGAGCCACCGTGCCCGGCTATTTATTTATTTATTATTGCTTATTTAGATTTTGGCAACTGCTCTCCAAGTGTTGCTCCACCAATCAGCAGCATCAGCGTCATTTAGGAACTTCTTGGAAATGCACATTCTTGGACCCCACTGTAGAACTTCCTATATCAAGAGCTCTGAAGCTGGGCGCTGCGGCTCACGCCTGTAATCCCAGCACTTTGGGAGGGCGAAGCAGGTGGATCATTTGAGGTCAGGAGTTCGAGACCAGCCTAGCCAATATGGTGAAACCTGGTCTCTACTAAAAATACAATTAGCTGGGCATGGTGATGCATGTCTGTAATCCCAGCTACTCAGGAGGCTAAGGCGGGAGAATCGCTTGAGCCTGGGAGGCGGATGTTGCAGTGAGCTGAGATTGCACCACTGCACTCCAGTCTGAGTGAGAGAGTGAGACCCTGTCTCAAAATAAAAATAAAAATACAAAAGAGGCACTGGGCACAGTGGCTCACACCTGTAATCCCAGCACTTTGGGAGGCTGAGATGGGTAGATCACAAGGTCAAGAAATCGAGACCATCCTGGCCAACATGTGAAACTTCATCTCTACTAAAATACAAAAATTAGCTGGGCATGGTGGCACGTGCCTGTAGTCCTAACTACTAGGGAGGCTGAAGCAGGAGAATTGCTTGAACCCAGGTGGCAAGATGCAATGAGCTGAGATCACATCACGCCACTGCACTTCAGCCTGGCGCCTGGCAACAGAGCAAGACCCTGTCTCGAAAAAAAAAAAAAAAAAGAACTTTGAGAGTGATTCCCAGCAATCTGAGTTTAACAAGCCTGCAGGTAGTTCTGAGGATGCTAAATTCTGAGAGCATTGGGTCTGTGGCCTCCAGATGAGCCAGCATGCAAATAACACTCATTTCAAAACAGCTAAAAGTAATTCCACCCTTCTCTTTCCTCTCAAAAACAAGTGACTGAAAGAGATGTGATTATAGAAATAAACCCGAATGTATTTTCCTTTCACTCTCCTTGAATTTTGATACCACTATGTGAATTTATTTGGCCACTGAAACACAAGTAGAAGTGGCATGTTTCACTTTTGGGTGACAGCTTTAAGTGTCAGGGCACCAGGACTGGATGGGCAAGCCACCAACCAACCTTCTGAACCCACACTGGAAATGTGTATGTGTGTGTGTGTGTGTGTGTGTGTGTGTGTAAAAAAAAATTGTTATGTTGAATTCTACTGTGGCTTAGCTGGGTGCCTCTGCCTCAAGGTCTCACACAAGGCAGCAATTGGGTATTATCTAGGGCTATGGTCTCATCAGAAAGCTCAACTGGGAATAGTCTGTTTCCAAGTTCATTTACATGGTTGCTGGAAGGATTCAGCTACTCATGGGCTATTTGACTGAGGACCTCAGTTGCTTGCTGGCTGTTGGCCAGGGACCTTGCTTAGTTGCTTGCCAGGTAGGCCTCCCCATAAGGCAGCTGGATTCTCCACATGTGGATTCTCCATGCGGCAGTTGGACTCTCAGAGAGAGAGAAAAGAGGAGGGGAGAGGAGGGGAGAGACAGGAGGGGGAGGAGGATAAAGAAGGGGTTGGGCAAGGGAAGAGAATTAATGCTAAAGCCATAGTCTTTTTGTAACCTAATCTTGGAATTGATGTCCCATCCCTTTTGCCATAGTGTATCCATTGGAGGTGCGTTGGTGTAGCTGATAATTAAAAGCAGGGGTGTTTCAAAAGCATGTCATGAGGCAGGGCTTATTGGGAGCCATTTTATTTTATTTTTAATTTAATTAATTAATTTATTTATTTCGAGACTCAGTCTCACTGTCACCCAGGCTGGAGTGCAGTGGTGCAATCTTGGCTTACTGCAACCTCTGCCTCCCAGGTTCAAGTGATTCTGGGAGCCATTTTAGAGGATGCCTACCTCAATGAATGAGAAATAAACTATTGTTAAGCCACTGAGATTTTGGCGTTGATATTGCAACATAACCTAGCCTGTCATCTGATGTAATGTTTATCTCCCATCATTCAGAAACTGATGCTCAGAAAGATTAAGGAATTTGGCCAAAGATACATAGCTAGGTATTGGCAGCACTAGGATTCAAGCCTATGTCTGTCTGACGCCAGGCCCGGAGCTTTTTTTTTTTTTTTTTTTTTTTGAGATGTAGTCTCACTCTGTTGCCCAGACTAGAGCACTGTGGCTCACAACCAAGGGTGGTCTTGAACCACATGGTCAAGTGATGTGCTCACCTCAGCCTCCCAGAGTACTGGGATTACAGGTGTGAGCCACCGTGTCTGGCCTCCAGGCCCTGAGCTTTTATTCAGTATATGTATTGCGCAATTGGGAAATGTGGGGATAGGAAAAGTATTCAATTTCAGTTCATGGGACAGTAGCGACCCTCCATAGCAGCTAGGGCCTATTGACTGTAAGGGCTGAGAGGATGAGAAAAAGAACACAAAGATACGCCCCACAATCTTGTAATCATTCCCCACAAACGGCCATATGCCCAGATATATTCACAATCGTTCTTCCATTAGCTTAGCAGGTCCATGTTTCCGTACACAGCCGCATGCAGAATCTGCTTCTTAGGAGGATGGATGCACGTGTCCAAAGCCATTTATCAACCCCTTCCTATGACTGTTGAGTCATTCAAGGCTGCAGAAACTGCAACTTACCCAAGGTCTCACAGCAACTAGTGGTAGAGGGAGGACAATGTTGCCAGCATCCCTCCCCAAACCTCTTTTCGTGACACCATGTGGCACCAAGGAGGTATCCATGTTGTTGGAAACAGATGCTCAGTGCTGCAAGAAAAAAATATTAGCACTGAGACAAAGGATCTCTCAGCAAAGCAATTTTTACTTTTTTTTTTTTAACTTCCTGTACTGCAGGAAAGGTACCCTCACTAGCCATCTTGCCACAAGAGTACGTTGAATAAAGGAAAAGCAAACATATTTATCTCTTATGCATTTGGGGTTGTACTTACTGCTGTGTCTGAGTACTTACTGCTGTGTCTGTTTCAGTTGGTTGGAGCCAGACCTCCCAATCTAAACTAAAACCTGATTGGCTAACAACTTAAACCTTTTCTTTTTCTTTTTCTTTTTCTTTTTTTTTCTTTTTTTTTTTTTTTGAGACGAAGTCTCACTCTGTCGCCTAGGCTGGAGTTCAGTGGTGTGATCTTGGTTCACTGCAACCTCTGCCTCCCGGGACCAAGCAATTCTCCTGCCTCAGCCTCCCAAGTAGCTGGCACTACAGGTGTCCACCACACCCGGCTAATTTTTTTGTATTTTTAGTAGAGACAGGGTTTTGCCATATCAGCCAGGATGGTCTTGATCTCCTGATTTTGTGATCCACCAGCCTCGGCCTCTCAAAGTGCTGGGATTACAGGCATGAGCCACCGCGCCCGCTAACTTAAATCTTTTCTAAACAGGTAAAAGCAATGGCGAGCTGGGACATGCCTGTGAGTACATCCAGCACAGATATTTTGGTTAAAGTACAAGGACATAGAATATACTATGTGCCTATAAGCACTGTATGTCTAACAGCTACGTAGGATAGGGCTTAATAAAGAGTTATTAGCACACTTATGATTTACTCTTTAATGAGAAAGGAAACTTTAAAGAAGAACTTTTCTATTTCCCACACACATCCTTCACAGGCCAACAACACTGGTGCATCCTGGGAGGCCAAGGAAGCACCCTTTTCCATATTGTCTGGAGCAGGCGTCCCCAAACTTTTTACACAGGGGGCCAGCTCACTGTCCCTCAGACCGTTGGAGGGCTGCCACATACTGTGCTCCTCTCACTGACCACCAATGAAAGAGGTGCCCCTTCCTGAAGTGCGGCGGGGGGCCGGATAAATTGCCTCAGGGGGCCGCATGTGGCCCATGGGCTGTAGTTTGGGGACGCCTGGTCTGGAGGATCTGCTATCCTTTCCTGCCACTTCTACCTTTAAGATATGTGAAGCCTCTGATTCCCTGCACCCACACACGACTTCCATTCTAGCCTCCATCTCAACCTCTCAGAGGTTTGGACTGTACTAAACAGGACTCTCAGTTGCAAGTGGCAGAAAGCGCAATTTAGACTGGTTTAATCAGAAGGGGAATTTACCAGCCCATGCCACTGGCAAGCTGGATGCAGGGACTGCAGGTTCAGGAAAAGATGGATTTGGCAATGTAGCAATCTGAACATTGTCTCAATTTCACTTGTCGTTTTTTCTTTCTGTTTCTCAGATAAAACTTTTGAGGTTTTTTTTGGGCAGGTGCGGTGGCTCACGCCTGTAATCTCAGCACTTTGGGAGGGTCAGGTGGGTGGATCATGAGGTCAGGAGTTTGAGACCAGCTGGCCAGTACAGTGAAACCCTGTCTCTACTAAAAATACAAAAAAATTAGCTGGGTGTGGTGGCATGCGCTTGTAATCCTAGCTGCTCAGGAGGCTGAGGCAGAAGAATCACTTGAACCTGGGAAGGCAGAGGTTGCAGTGAGCTGAGATTGTGCCACTACACTCCAGCCTGAGCAACAGAGCGAGACTCTGTCTCAATAAAACACAAACAAAAAAACTTTTGAGGTTTTTTTGTTTGTTTCCTTGGTTTTTAGAAACAGGGTCTCACTCTGCTGCCTTGGCTGGAGTGCAGCGGTGCCATCATGCCTCACTACAGCCTTGACCTCCTCAGACTTCCAAGTATCTAGTGCTACAGGCACACACCACTACACCTGGCTAATTGTAAAAAATTTCTTTTGTAAGAGTGGGTTCTCCTGTGTTGCCCAGGCTGGTCTCAAACTCCTGGACTCAAGCAATGCTCCCACCTCAGCCTCCCAAAGTGCTAAAATTACAGGAATGAGCTACCACACCTGGCTGAATTCTGTTTTTATTTTTATTTTTATTAATTAATTTATTTATTTATTTTGAGACAGAGTCTTAGTTTGTCTCCCAGGCTGGACTGCAGTGGTGCGATCTTGGATCACTGCAACTTCCACCTCTTGGGTTCAAGCAATTCTCCTGCCTCAGCCTCCTGAGTAGCTGGGATTACAGGCACCCACCACCATGCCCAGCTAACTTTTTGCATTTTAGTAGAGACAGGGTTTCACCATGTTGCCCAGGCTGGTCTCGAACTCCTGAGCTCAGGCAGTGTGCCCGCCTCAGCCTCCCAAAGTGCTAGGATTACAGGCATGAGCCACCATACTTGGCTTATTTTTATTTTTTATTTATTTAATTTTTTTCTGACAGAGTCTTGTTCTGTTGCCCAGCTGGAGTGCAACCTCCCAGGTAGCTGGGATTACAGGTGTGCACCATCCTGCTCAGCTAATTTTTGTATTTTTAGTAGAGATGGGATTTCACCATGTTGGCCAGGCTGGTTTCTAACTCCTGACCTCAGGTGATTCGCCTGCTTTAGCCTCCCAAAGTAAGCCACTGCGCCTGGCCTGAATTCTGTATTTAAATTGAGGTATAATTGACCTACAGAAAAATGCATACATTTAAAGTTTGATAGAAATTTGAAATTGTCGATAAAATGTGATCCCTTTTGACTTATGTGCACACTGTTAAACCATCTCCTCAATCAAGGTAGTGAATATATTCATTGCTCCCCAAAGTTTCTCTGAGCCCATTTGCAAATCCCTCTCCTCCCCCATCTGCTTTCAGTCACTATAGATTAGTTAACATTTTCTAGAAATGTATAGAAATTGAATTATGTTGTAGTTACTCTTTTTTATCTGGTTTATTTCATTTACCATAATTAACTTAAGACTCATAGATGTTCTTCATTTGTCCTTAGTTTGTTTCTTTTTTCTTTTCTTTCTTTCTTTTTTTATTTTTTGAGATGGAGTCTCACTCTGTCGCCCAGGCTGGAGTGCAGCGGTGAGATCTTGGCTCACTGCAACCTCCGCCTCCTGGGCTCCTCTGCCTCCTGCCTCAGCCTCCTGAGTAGCTGGGACTACAGGCATGTGTCACCACATCCAGATTATTTTTTGTATTTTTAGTAGAGATGGGGTTTCACAGTGTTAGCCAGGATGGTCTTGATCTCCTGACCTTATGATCCACCCACCCCAGCCTCCCAAAGGGCTGGAATTATAGGTGTGAGCCACTGCACCTGGCTGTTTCTTTTTTATTTTCTTTAGAGACAGGGTCTTGCTCTGTCACCCAGGCCGGAGTGCAGTGGTATGATCAGAGCTCACTGCAAACTTGAGCTCCCAGGCTCAAGCAATCCTCCTGCCTCAACCTCCCAAAATGCTGGGATCACAGGTTTGAGCCACTGTGCCTAGCCTGTTCTCTCTCTTTTTTTTTTTTTTTTTTTTTTTTGAGACAGAGTCTTGCTCTGTCACTCAGTCTGGAGTGCAGTTGTGCAATCTCAGCTCACTCAACCTCCACCTCCTGGGTCCAAGGGATTCTCCTGCCTCAGCCTCCTGAGTAGCTGAGATTACAGGTACTTGCCACCCTCCCTGGCTAATTTTTGTATTTTTAGTGGAGGTGGGGCTTCACCATGTTGGCCAGGCTGGTCTCAAACTCCTGACCTCAAATAATCCACTCACCTCAGCCTCCCAAAGTGTTAGGATTACAAGCGTGAGCAACCACCATGCCTGGCTGCCTTTTCATTTTTTTTTTTTTTTTTTTTTTTTTTTTTTGAGATGGAGTCTTATTCCCTCTGTCCCCAGCCTGCAGTATAGTGGCACAATCTTGGTTCACTGCAACCTCTGCCTCCTGGGTTCAAGCAATTCCTCTGCCTCAGCCTCCCAAGTAGCTGGGACTACAGGCATGCACCACCAGGCCTAATTTTTCTTTTTTCTTTTTTCTTAATATTAGTAGAGACGAAGTTTCACCAAGTTGGCCAAGATGGTCTCGATCTCTTGACCTCGTGATCCATCCACCTTGGCTTCCCAAAGTGCTGGGATTACAGGCATGAGCCACCGTGCCCAGCTGCCTGTCCCTTTTTTATTTTTCAATAGCCTTAAGGCTGGGCTCAGTGGCTCACGCCTGTAATTCCAGCACTTTGGGAGGCCGAGGTGGGTAGATCACGAGGTCAGGAGATCAAGACCATCCTGGCCAACATGGTGAAACCCTGTCTCTACTAAAAATACAAAAATTAGCTGGGCGTGGTAGCATGTGTCTGTATTCCCAGCTACTAGGGAGGCTGAGTCAGGAGAATCACTTGAACCTGGGAAGTGGAGGTTGCAGTGAGCAGAGATGGTGCCGCTGCATTCCAGCCTGGGCTACAGAGAGAGACTTCATCTCAAAAACCAAAAAAATAGTATTGTATTATATGGATGTATCACAATTTGTTGATGGAGCTTGGGTTGATCTACCTTTTGGCTCTTACAAATGAAGCTTCTAAGAACACCCATGTACAAGTCTCTATATAAACATACCTTTTTTCCTTTTGGGTACATATCCAGGAGTAGAATAGCCAGCTCATACAGTAGGTATATGTTTCAACTTTGTAAGAAACCACACAAATGTTTTCTAAAGTGTGTTTGCACAATTAATTTCTCATCCCCACCAGCTATGTGTGAGAGTTCCAGTTCCTCCACACATGGTCGGTCTCTTTTTTAATTTATTTTTATTTTTTGAGATGGAGTCTCACTCTGTCACCCAGGCTGGAGTGCAGTGGCACAATCTGCAACCTCCGTCTCCCTGGTTCAAGCGATTCTCCTGCCTCAGCCTCCCAAGTAGCTGGAATTACAGGCATCTGCCACCGTGCCCCAGCTAATTTTTGTATTTTCAGTAGAGACAGGGTTTCACCACGCTGGCCAGGCTGGTCACAAACTCCTGACCTCAGGTGATCTGCCTGCCTTGGCCTCCCAAAGTGCTGGGATTATAGGCGTGAGCCACCACGCTGGCCCAGTCTCTTTAATTTTAATCCTCCTAGTAAGTGTGAAGTGCCATTACACTGTGGTTTAAATTTGCATTTCCTTGGACTAATTATATTGAGCATCTTTTCATGTGCTTATTGGTCATGTGTACATCTTCCTTGGTGAAATAACTGCTTAATAACTGCCACTACTTTAATGATACCTCACAAATTTTAATGCATTGTATTTCTATTTTATTTATTAATTTAGTGAGATGGAGTCTTGCTCTTTTGCCCAGCCTGAAGTGCAGTGGTGCAATCTCAGCTCACTGCAACCTCCACCTCCTGAGTTCAAGTGATTCTCCTGCCTCAGCCTCCTGAGTAGCTGGGATTACAGGCTCCTACCACCCATGCCTGGCTAATTTTTGTATTTTTAGTAGAGACGGGGTTTCACCATGTTGACCAGGATGGTCTCGATCTCTCGACCTCGTGATCCACCCGCCTCGGCCTCCCAAAGTGCTGGGATTACAGGCTTGAGCCACAGCGCCCGGCCGGTAATTTTTTCTTACATATGTGTCTTGTTTTGTTTCTTCAAAAAGTTCCGCAGTGAAGATTCATTACTATTATGATATGGAAAAACAACAAATGTGATTTAGAAACCTAATCTATAATGGCTGTAATACTAAAATAATTTGGTTGGGGCACAGTGCCTCACACCTACAATCCCAGCAATTTGAGAGACTGAAGCAGGAGGATGGCTTGAGAGCAGGAGTTTGAGACAAACTTGGGCAACACAGCAAGACTCCCATCTCTACAAAAAAATAATCAGATTAAAAAAGAAATAAAAAATAATTTAACACTTTGGTAAAAGAGAGTGAAAACACATTTCAGGAGTAGACTACATGAAGGCTGGGAATCCACTGCGCTGAGTGGCCGACTTTTATCCTAACGTCCCAAAATGGAACAGCCAAACATGGCTTTAGAAACACTTGGGGCACCTGCCAGCCAATGTGGAGGAAACCTGCTTGCCCAGTTTGGAAAAGAATCTCATATGAGACCACATCTGATTTGTTTATTGAGACGGGGTCTCACTCTGTCACCCAGGCTGGGGTGCAGTGGCACAATCTCAGCTCACTGCAGACTCGACCTCTTGGAGTCAAGCGATCCTCCCATCTCAGCCTTCCGAGTAGCTGGGACTACAGGTGTGTGCCACCATGCCCAGCTAATTTTTTAATTTTTCTTTTGTAGAGATGGGGTTTTGCTATGTTGACCAGGCTGGTATTGAATGAACTCCTGGCTTCAAGTGGTCCTCCCACCTTGGCCTCCCAAAGTGCTGGGATTACAGGGGTGAGTCACCACAACTGGCCTTGTATCAGATTTAGTACTGATTATATTTTGAATTATTGTAAGTTTAGTATGTCATCATTTCAGAATACTCTAGTTCTCGAAAGAATGGAGACTACAACAGCCTGAGTCTCTGTTTTTCACAGGTTCCCCAGATGATTCTGAAACATGCCAGCCTGAGGCTGTCCACTGGTGCGTGTTGGAAAGAAGTGGTTCTCACACTTGGCTGCAACTGGAATCACCTGTGCAGCTTTTAAGTCTTAGTGGCAAGACCATACTCCAGACCACAAAACTCAGGGCTGGGGTGAAGGGGGCTGTTCGTCAGTAGTTTAAATGTCCCAGGTGATTTTAATGAGCAGCCAGCTTTGAGAACCAGTGTCCTAATGGAAGCAGCCGCATATCCAGGTGCGCCCCCTGAGCCTGGGAAACAACTTCTCAAAACCTTGTGTCTGAATAACTTTGTGTTCTCTGTCTCCATCTGGTGGTTACTCCACTCCATTGTTATTTACCTGTGCAACCTGGGATCTTTGAGTTTGCCAAAAGAATCAAAAAGACTTGAAATTTCAAGAAATAAAAATAGCTACAAAATATACCACTATAAAGAACACAATGATCTAAGAGTCATAAATGCATTCGAATAATGCATCTGAATCTTTTGCAGTACTTGCAATTAAAGAGCAATCAGTAAATACTTATTCCCATTATAATTAAACTTAAGTTAGACCCCATTTTTCGGGTACTGTGGTTCATTTCGAATGAAATGAATGGTTTTAATTCAATCAAAAAACATACTTAGTTTTATTATACTTGGCATATTGTTGGCAATGGTGAACAGTCTACCTGGTGAGAGAGAGAGGAGAGAGAGAGAGAGAGAGAGAGAGAGAGAGGACTGTGTGTGTGTGTGTGTGTGTGAGAGAGAGAGAGAGAGAGAGAGAGAGAGAGAGAGAGGAGGGAGAGAGAGATTATTATTTTAATGAAAAGAGCATTTGGTGTGTACTGTTCTTTGAGTTTTGTAACCCCACCCCAATCAGGATTCCAAACACTTCCATGATTCCCGGAAAACTCTATCACACTTCCCTGTCGTGGCTTCCTTGTTCCATCCCAATCCCTGGTCACCAACTGAATTGCTTTTTGTCCCTGTACTTTGCCTTTTCCATAATGTCATGTAAATGGAATCATACAATATGTAACCTTTTGAGGGTGGCTTCTTTAACTTACCAAAATTTCCTTCCTTCTGCTTGTTTTAGGTTTGTTTTGCCTTTTTTTTAGTTGATTAAAGCTGAGGTTTAGATTGTTGGAGACTTCCTTCTTTTCTAAAATAAGCATCAAATGCTATATATTTCCATCTAAGCTCTTCTTTTTTTTTGAGACGGAATTTTGCTCGTTACCCAGGCTGGAGTGCAATGGCGCGATCTCGGCTCACCGCAACCTCCACCTTCTGGGTTCAGGCAATTCTCCTGCCTCAGCCTCCTGAGTAGCTGGGATCACAGGCACGCGCCACCATGCCCAGCTAATTTTTTGTATTTTTAGTAGAGACGGGGTTTCACCATGTTGACCAGGATGGTCTCGATCTCTTGACCTCGTGATCCACCTGCCTCGGCCTCCCAAAGTGCTGGGATTACAGGCTTGAGCCACCGCGCCCAGCATCTAAGCTCTTCTTTAGCTGCATCTACACATTTGATTTATTTTTGTTTTTCTTCAGTTAAAAGCATTTTCTAATTTTCTCATTTCCCTTGAGACTACCTTCTTTGACCCCTGGCTTACTTAGAAGGAACATTCAATATGGGTGTCTTTGCTGTGCTTACAGCCTTAATCCTGTGGAAACTGGTATTCCATCAATGGAAAATTGAGCCTTTAGTGAACTTTAATACTGTTTCCCCTTCACTGCCCAGAGAGGTTTCTCAGCAGCCAACAACATATCAGAGGCAAGAAAAGAGCAGCTAAAAGGCAAAGGAGAAAAATGGAAGACACATGCCTTTAAGCATCTATTTTAAGCTAAATATAATGATTAAATATCACCAAAACCCATTTTTTGTACCTTCTTAATTGTCTCACATCGAAGACATGTATGGAAAACTAATTGGTTTTTTATATCCCTAAATTCCTAATTGAAATCAATTCCAACAAATTGTAGGTGCTCAAGAGAGAAATGTAAACTTTAAATATACGTATTCAGTACAAGTTACTTTCATAACATTTGGGGCATTATCAAAATATAATTTGAAACCCCTTTTTGTAACCAACTGAATTAACCAAATGACCTTTTCTTAAAGGCACAAATTAAAAGGTGGCAAAACCACCATAAATGTAGTGTGTGGGATCACCTTTTCTGAAAGGGCATCAGGAAATCTGGGTAGAGGTCGATGTTGTGGTTACTTGCTGGAAATTAACTCTAGTTACTGGATCATGGGGAGCTGTGGCAAGGAAGATGGTGGGGCGGGGGAGCACGGCCACTCCCGAAGCTCAGAGCAGCAGCTCCTTATCGACCGTGAGGAACTGTCAGCGTCCCAGCACCCTGTGCAGCTGTGCCACTGCAAACCAGCTGCACCATGGCTCTCCTTGCAGCTTTCTAGAAATACAGCTTGGTAACAACAGGAGATTGTGGACACACTGTTTTTCATTAGTTTATTACAAAAGTACACACACAATATGCAACATTCTAGCTCCTAAATCCTTCTGCCTTTTTTTTTTTTCCTGAAACTAAACGCCCTCAAAGCCCCCGTCTGCTTGGCCCATAATACAACCCAACTCCTCGGCTCCTGGATGCACAGGTCAGAGGTTCCAACAAGCCTGACCATGGTCAGTGCTGTGGAGCCACTCCCAAGGTGGCTGAGCCTTCTGTGAAAATTTAAATCGCTGGTAAGTCATTCTAAATAAATAGTGAATGGATTGTTTCTGCCCCTAAGATGAAATCCCACATATCTTATGCTCAAGCTCAGGTCTTCCTATTGCCACCTTCGACACCTAGAAAGCATGGTGGGATCTTCACCGACTTGTTAACCCTGGGAGTGCCCCTTGTGATCCAGATGAGTCAAAACAAATGGCCAGGATCTCTTCTACAAAGCCCATGATGGCCCTTCTGGCTGTGTCTCCCGTCGGTGCCTGGACACTGCCCATGCGCTTCAGGGCCATTCTGACCATTTGGTCTCTTTCCTGGGGGCTGTGGGGTGCTCTGGTGTCATCTCCCTCTGCTCCTTACTTTAGAAACTATAGGATATAGGACTGCAGCATATTCCCATTCAGTTCAAGGGTTTCTCTGATACAAAGCAAGTCTGAGGCACTGTCCAAGCTCAGGAAGTAAATGAGTACCTGGCAGATTTGGGTCCACAGGCTGGCACAGTACTTGAATTCCAAAAAGGCTGTGGTGTCTTCGCTTTCTGGAAGGCGGTGACCAACGCGCTCCAGATCCAATCCTAGCATACTGGTCAACAGACCCATACTGCTGTCTCTTGCCCGGGACGGAAAGGGCAGTGGTAGATCTGATGCACACTTTGAAGTCCTTGCATGATGTCACAACTGATGTCAGGGCGCTGTAGGCCGGGAGGTCCATGGGGCTGTCCCTAGACAGAATCCACAGTCATTAAAACACATGCAAACTTAGAAATAGGTGGGGTGAGAGGGAGAGGGATGGAAGGAAGCATAAACACTAGTGCTCACAACAGTCATTTTGTGTGTTCACTTCACTCTCACCATCATCCTGTAAGATCAGGGTGGAAACTGACTAGCATCCTAGTAAGCAGCCAGCTGCCAATCCCCAAACCTCCCTCTTTCCCCACATCAGCCTGCCACATGCTTAGAGCCTCTGCTACCCAATATAGAGCCTTTGGTGACTCAGAAAAAGGCTTCTTTTCTGGGAGGAATCTGTCCCATGGGGGTAAGGCTTTGTGGCAGAGCAGAGACTGCAACCCCACCAGTCAGCTGCACACTTCTGAGCAGCGTGCAAACCACACACTACACGCGGTAGCCCTGTTCATGCAGCAGAAAGGATCATTTCCTCACTCGCGGCAGCATCCAGACACTGCTTGGGTCACACAGCAAGTCGTGCATTTTATTGCAAAGAGAAAGAAAACTTACCATTTCAAGGATAAGATGCCCATATTTCTATCTTTTCTCCACTCCTGTAGGCCCTAGGAAACAGCCTGCTTTCCTCCTTACCAGAGCTACTGCTACCCACTGCATTTTGGGGTGTCCTTACTCAAGATGGGTGACAGAGTAGAATGCAGCTTCTCTTAACTCTCGCAGCCCTTCCCTGCTTCTCTGCAGCCTCTGAAGACAGGTGAGCAGGCCCATCCCATTTGTTGGATGCCACTGCCATTGACAACGGGCCACTGCTAGGGCTACAAGGCTCTCACATTCCGACCTGTCAGTCACAGTCTTTTGTCAGTTTCTGGCTCCCTTTTCGTATGTGGCTCCTGATAGCTCTGTTATTGGATGCTTTCTCGTTCTCAAACTTCCTGCCTCTTTGGAGCTTCCCTTTCCCTCCAGGTCATGGAGTCCCCTCTCTCCAGGTCAACTTCTCTTTCTCTAGAAGGCTGAGGGCAAGAGCCAGACAGGAAGGCAGGTAGGAGCCAAACACCGAGGTGCCCTGGTTTCAAGGCGCTCTTGGCTCTCCAGAAGGTGGACATCCACCTCAAAGAGCTCCAGCCCCAAAGGTCACCCTCAGTGGAAGCAGCCAGGAGGCTACTTCTCCACAGGCTCCAGCTGACTGCTCTGCCTAGACGCTCTGGGCATTAAAGGGGTGCAGAGCCAGACTCCCCTCGCTTGATGCATGCTCTCCTCTCCAGGAACACATCCTTAGGTTTCAGATCTTCTGAGAGAGAGAGAGAGGCAATAAAGCAAATGCTGGCATTCAAAGTGAGCGAGATTCGAAGGCTCCCATCCATACACCCAAACAGCTGCTGGTCCTGAATGACATCTCAGGGTACATGGCATGCCACGAATTAGAGACAGATGCCCTCTTACATTTATTAATGGCATCCACTCTGTACACAGTTCATAGGGGATTTCCAGTTTATATCCCCTCTCATTCCAGTTTTTTCCTTTCTTTTTTCTTGACTATTAAAACAATACATGCTTATTGCAGACAATAGAGAAAATGAAAACGGAAAAAATCCTACTCATCCAGAGGCAATCGCTGTTAATAATTAGGCCAATTTCCTTTCAGTCTTTTTTCTATCCATCTATTGTGAACATTCTGTGGAAATTATTTAGAACCTGCTTTCGTTTGTTTAACATCAGAAGTATTTTTCCAGATTATCAAATTCCTGTAAGTAATTTTAAATGGCAACAAAATATCCCATTATATATCCCACTGTATAAATAATGATGTTATTTCAATGTTCCCCTAGACTTGTTTTCAGTATGTCTCCATTTCTTCCTAATACTATGGTAAATAACATGTGACAAATGTCTCTAACAACAATGTAGATTGCTGTGTGCTGTCCCAACAGGCTTTCCACCAGGGAGAAAAGGGAAACTTTCTTACCTAACGGAAGGCCGGGATTTTTAAATACATTTCCCATTGCATAACAAGCGTTCCATCGGACTGACATGGCAGCTTCTGTTAGGACAGTGGAAATCAGGGCCTGAATAGACTCCTCAGTGATTTCTGCAAGTGTGGGTTTTTCCATATGAGAGGGTTGCAGACAACGAAGCTAATGTTGAAGGCTCGGACCGCACTGCTTTTTACCCAGAAAAAAATGTGAACGCTTTAGATACCTGTTTTGCCAAAGAGATGTTTTCAAAACTCTAATTTCAGCTTTAAAAAAAACCCAGGTCCTAGACTTTTTTTTTTTTTTTGAGACGCAGTTTTGCTCTTGTTACCCAGGCTGGAGTGCAACGGCGCGATCTCGGCTCACTGCAACCTCCGCCTCCTAGGTTCAGGCAATTCTCCTGCCTCAGCCTCCTGAGTAGCTGGGATTACAGGCATGCGCCACCATGCCCAGCTAATTTTTTGTATTTTTAGTAGAGACGGGGTTTCACCGTGTTGACCAGGATGGTCTCGATTTCTTGACCTCGTGATCCACCCACCTCGGCCTCCCAAAGTGCTGGGATTACAGGCTTGAGCCACCGTGCCCGGCCGGTCCTAGACTTCTTAAAGCAAGTCCTTGGAACTCTATAAGGTCTTGTCTGGTTAACATTCTGAGCCATCAGAAAGGTGAGGTTCTACAAAATTCCTCTCTGATTATTTAATTATTTTATTTAGTGTTAGGACCTCAGAGAGGTCCATCTTCCTTGTTTTACTGAGATGGAGTATAAGGATTAGGGACAGCAAGACCAGGCTAGTTTATAGCAAGGTGAGGAGCAGAAACTACATTCCGTAATTCCAGTCAGTACTTTTCTACTGGACTAGAGTCTCAAGCTCTGCAGCCCACCAGAACCATTTGCGGAGGATTTTCCTTTTGTTTTAAAAGCAATTTGCAGGCCCTAACCTCAGAATTTCCGATTGAATTACTCTTAGATACGGCTTCCCCAGTGATTAGCAGATTTTCAGAAGCAGCATTCAAGTGAGCACATGGTATGTGTCAGGTACTGTGCTAGGTGCCTTAACATATGGAATTCTTATATCCAGTGAGGTCTATGCCACAACTTCCACGTTCTAAGTGAGGAGCTGACCTTCAGAGAAGTTACATAATATACCAGTCACCCAGCTACTAAAGGGCAAGCCAGGGCTCGAATCCATGTATGTCTGACCTAAAGCCCAGACCTATGCTTTTTTTTTTTTTTTTTTTGAGACGGAGTTTTGCTCTTGTTACCCAGGCTGGAGTGCAATGGCGCGATCTCAGCTCACCGCAACCTCCGCCTCCTGGGTTCAGGCAATTCTCCTGCCTCAGCCTCCTGAGTAGCTGGGATTACAGGTACGCGCCACCGTGCCCAGCTAATTTTTTTGTATTTTTAGTAAAGACGGGGTTTCATCATGTTGACCAGGATGGTCTCAATCTCTTCACCTCGTGATCCACCCGCCTCGGCCTCCCAAAGTGCTGCGATTACAGGCTTGAGCCACCGCGCCCGGCCGCTTTTTAAACTTATTTGTTTAGCAGGTAATATTCAAAGCCAGGAGCTACTCATCTTTCTGACTTGTCAATTCTACCTAAAATATGTATATATATATTTGGAAACCTAAATACGTCATGTAGTATTATAATTCAAATGTCAGCCCGTCACTGCTGGTTTACCTTCAAGAGGCTAACTCACCTCTCTGGGCTTCAGTTCCCTACTCCCTGTACAATGGGAGGTGAGAGCCAAACTCCGGTGTTTCTAGGGCAGCTGGAGGTGTCAGAGGTGTGTGAACCAAAGCAACTCCGTCTTGAATAGGAGCTGGGTAAAATAATGCTGAGACCTACTGGGCTGCATTCCCAGATGGTTAGGCATTTTAGGTCACAGCATGAGATAGGAGTTCAGCACAAAACACAGATCGTAAAGACCTTGCTGATAAAACAGGTTGCAGCAAAGCAGCTGGCTAAAAACCCACCAAGAGCAAGATGGCTACAAGAGTGACCTCCGGTCGTCCTCACTGCTACACTCCCACCAGCGCCATGACACTTCACAGATGCCACGGCTACGTCAGGAAGTTACCCTATATGGTCTAAAAAGGGAGGCATGAATAATCTACCCCTTGTTTAGCATATCATCAAGAAATAACCATACAAACGGGCACCCAGCAGTCCTCAGGGCTGCTCTACGGAGTGGCCAGTCTTTCATTCCTTTACTTTCCTAATAAAGTTGCTTTCACTTTACTCTATGGACTTGCCCCGAATTCTTTCTCATGTGAGACCCAAGAACCCTCTCTTGGGGTCTGGATTGGGACCTGTCTCCTGTAATGGAGGGACTAGTGGGGTACGGTATTCCCAGTGCTATCTGAGAGCCCAGAACACAGACGGCAGGCCTCCCATGTGTGCTACAGTTACAAATGTCCTCGTCTTCACCACCATCATCCAAACATCCAGAGGGCTTTTCTCAGAGTAGGGACAGCAGGAACCATCTGCGGCTGTCCAACATTTCAGTCCTTCTGAGCCAACCACAGGCTTCCCAGGGCACATCACAGGCAATGTGGACTCTGTGAGTGCTGGGTACCTAGGAGATGAGCCCACAGCTGCAGTCTCCTTCCCAGGACGGCCCTTCATACCAAGGGCACCACAGTAAAAAGGGCAGGGGCGCTCTCTGGGAAGGTGGGATCACCAGCAGCGCCCCAGCATTGCTCAAGTCCCAGCAGCCAAGACTCGGGGAGCCCTCTCGGTGCCAGGCCAGCTCTACCCCTGAGCTCTCTACCCTCAGGAGGAGGTGGCAACTCTGGAAACTTCCCCACTTCTCAGCAGAATCTGGGACTGCCTCAACAAGCGCCCTGCAGAGAACCTAGAAGACCAACCCCCTATTTTATTCCAGAAAGTCTGAATTTGCCTTCAGCCCTTGAGCGCTGAGAAGGGATGGGGGCTCAAGAATTGCTCACTGAGCATGGCTCCCAGGGGCAGGGACCGTGGTCCAGTCCACTGCTATACCCAAGCACCTTCTCAGAGCCTGATAGCTAGGAGGTGCTCACATATGTATTACTTTAATCAACACAGGAATGCAATTATAGCAATAATAAAGGATTTTCCTAAAGAAAAACAGTCCCACCACCCATAACTCATTTCAACTCTAGTGTTCCCCATCTACATGCATATCATCACATGTTTATAGCACTATAAATGCCACATACATGCAATTTTACATACTGTGTATCTCCCTTGGTGTGATACTGTGAATATGCTCATGTTCTCACCCAGCCTCTGTGATTGACATCTGTGTGTGTGATGACCCACCATCATGTGCTGTGCCACAGTCTGCCAAACCTCCCCTCACCACTGGACAGCTACCTCATTTTCATTCTTTTCTGTATTACGGATAATGTGCAGAGTCTTCTGCATTCTGCTTTGCTTTTCTATTGCATTCTTGCCTCAGGAGGAATACCTCTGGAAGGATGGAGTGGACGGAAGGGCATCACTGTCCTCGTGTCACAGGTGAAGAGAGTAATACTGGGCAGGTGCCGGCACAATCTCCTGCTGTGAGAGCTCTTCGAAAGCTGCTGGATGAATAAACATGGCTCACTCACGTGACAACCTCAGTGAGGCCCTGGGCCAGGGCTCTGTCACCTGCCCACACAGTCAGAAAGTGACTTTCTATAAGTCAGTAGGTTAGTGTGCCAGCACCTAAACTCCAATTTTTTACTAAGACATGAGTTTCAAAATCCCCTGTGAATTCTACAGGAGGCAGGGACCAAATAAAACCAAGCACTTCTTCCCACCTTCTCTTCTTATCATTCTTTCCTCCTTCATACCTGGGTTCAGTGTCCCGAGAGTGCAGTGGGTACTGGAGAGCAAGCACCTCCCTAAATGTCACACCCAGGGCCCCTCATGGCCTCACCCCTGGCGCCAGTTTTTCCAACAACCTGGGCTCACTCCCCTTCGGCTTCCACTGGAGCTGTTCCTTGGCTTTCAAAGCTCTTTTCCGGCCATATCCCTGTGGAGTCCCTCTCCACCCTTTTGATGGTAGTCAAAGTCCTAGAACAATGGACAGTCTTGGAGGAGGGCACAGGAGGAAAGCTGTCAGCAAAGGCTTCTCTAACGAAGTGACCCTGGAACAGCATCCAGTCAAAAGAGCTGAATCTGCTTATGGAGAGACAATGTAGTCACAACACCTGGGGTCAAATTTTGGTTCTACCACTTATAAGCCATGTGATCGTGGACAAGTTACTTTACTTCTCTGGCTCTTAATTTCCTTGATTCATAAAATTAGGTCAACAATAAAAACTACCTTGGAGGGTTGTTGATTAAAAAAAAAAAAATTACCTGTAAGGGACTTAGAAGAGTAACTAGCACAGTAAATTTAGGACAAATGTTAACCAACATTATCCTCCATAGTACTGGCTACCAGCAGCATAGTGAAGAAAGTTCTTTGGTTGTGTATCACATCTTATTCCTCCCATACCATCAAGTACAAACATTCTAAACCTCTAACACTCAAAGTGTAACAATTTGTCTGTAAAATAATCATATAATTGCTCCTTTATTACACAAAACAGGAAAAACTCTGCTGTAGATAAGCTAATATGACATCCAAGAAAGGAAGGTGCCCAGCAGCTTAAGCCAAGTATGAATTCTATTACAGGCTCTGACAGAAGACTATTTTTTTTTTTTTGAGACGGAGGTTCGCTCTTGTTACCCAGGCTGGAGTGCAGTGGCACGATCTCGGCTCACTGCAACCTCTGCCTCCTGGGTTCAGGCAATTCTCCTGCCTCAGCCTCCTGAGTAGCTGGGATTATAGGCACGCGCCACTGTGCCCAGCTAATTTTTTGTATTTTTGGTAGAGACGGGGTTTCACCATGTTGACCAGGATGGTCTTGATCTCTTGACCTCATGATCCACCCGCCTCGGCCTCCCAAAGTGCTGGGATTACAGGCTTCAGCCACCGCGCCCAGCCCAGAAGACTATTTTTAACCCTC